CACACACACACACACACACACACTCCTGCGCACAGCCTCAAACCCCGCCGCACCCCTAGACACCCCTCCGTGCACCGCCTTACACACATGCATCCCCGCCTGCACACAGCCGCACACATACACGCACGCGTGCACGCCCCTGCACGCAGCCGCATACGCACACATGCACCCCTGCGTGCATGCTGGAGCACAGGGGTGCATGCCCTGCACGAAGCCGGGCACGCACATGCACATGCACACACCCACACACACCCTGCACGCTGCTTGTATCTCTCTCCTGCACACACACCCCCCGCTCACACAGCCCTGTACGCACAGACCCCCTGCATAAAGCGCAGCGTGCACACAGAGAACCATGTCCGCCACCGTCACCTACACATACAGCCAGCCAGCACACACGCACCGTCTGTGTGCGTGCACAACCTTGTGTACGCACACACACGCACGTACTTACATACACCCCTCCACATCTCAGCGTTCACGTGCGCACACACAGCGTGTCCCCTTTTGGGGTTCTTCCCGGGTACCTTTCCCAGCCCTTTTCCCCCACTTTTCCTCCTCGGTTTGCTAATTCCAGTCGTTTGCAACATGGCCTTGAATCTCGCCCTGGGATCTCCTCTGATCCTATCTCAGGCCACGAGCACTAACATCCTCGTTTTCTTTCCTTAGGACATCTCCCACTTGCTGGCTAGGACCTTTGAGGACCTGTACACTAGAGATGTTTTTGGGGTGGACATGGAGAGAAACTGGATCAAGTCCCGAGGAGGAGACAATGTTTATCATGAAACTTTTACGGAGGAGCTACAGAAGGTACAAGTCGAAACCACGTCTGAGTTTGGAGCTCTGTTCAGCTTTCATTGCTACTTCGTAATTTCTAGATGTTCTGTGAAATAAAATAAAAAGGCGGGGGGGGATCCTAGAACTGACATTTTAATGGAGATTTACTTGTGCACAGTTTCTCACAGAACCTTTTATATAAATTAATATTCACCACATGCTCCTTCATGATATTCTCAGCTCTGGACGGCTTTTCAGACACAGAGTAAAACCAGTAAACCCAGTAGCCCTTTAAATGCCTATTCTACTGGCTGGCAGCTTCTCCCTGTAACTGCTGGTCAGTGTACTAGACTTCCTATCTTGCAATAAAGTATTCTCATGTCCTGCATTTCGAAGCCAGATGCTTCAAATATTATTTATATATACTACCTTAGTGGTGTGCTATGACATGTAATCCATTAGCATTTGCAACGCTGTTTGCGAATCTTGGATGAAATCAACAGTAGAAATGCAAAATACTTGTATTAATCATTGCTCTGATAGCTATTGTCGGTGTATCAAAGTAGAGGCTATTGCTGGATGACTTGAGAAACAGGTATTTTTTCCATTTTCTGTCATCATACCCTCTTCAAAAGTTATCAGACGTGAAAAATCTGAAGTTGTGTATTTCTTCTGAGTCATTTATGAATATATTGGTGGACACAGTATGTTCTGAGTAATAAATGGGAGTACTACTGCTTGGATAAGGTTCATTTCAACTGACAATACATGTCTGAACTAGTCACTCAAGGCTCTCTGTATCATCAGAAAAAGGAAAAATAAAACACCAAACCAGGCACTTTTAGGGCACAATGCATCTGATCCATTTTAGGTAGCAACTTTGGCATGGCGTGGGATCGTATCCTGGATTCCAGTGACAGTGGAGGGATTCCAGAATGATCAGGACTGGAGGAAGCATCTCATTTTAGCTGAGATGCATCCTACGCTTTCTATTTAAAAAATTAAATGGAATTATTTAGTTCTATTAAATGAATTATTTAATAAATGAGCCAAAAGATTAAACCTTTTTATATAAAGGTTCTACAGAAAGCTCAGTTAGGCTACAGATACTCTTGAGAGCGATGTCTATCAGTTTCTCTTGGTGTTGGTCTTGTATGTCTCTGTGCCTCTGCTATATTCTCTCTCTAACATACATTGATACCTCTTTGAGGCAGGATTTTTCTTTTTGAGTTGTGCTTGTAAAGCACTTACCACGCTAGGAGGAGTGATCCAAAATATGTCAGAAGTGAAGTATCACTATTGGGTTATTTTGGAGTTTTAGAAACCTTCCTAGCAACTAGGAGAGAGCATTCACTTTAAATCTGCGAGGATATCTTTAATAATTTGTGACGGCTCAAATCAAACTCATTTCTCTACATTCACCCCTGCCCGTGACAGCTTCTTGCTGAATATAAGTGCCGACTGACAGAAGCTGACATAGTAGAAGAGAACATCATTCAGGCCCAGGTTCGAGCAAAAGCTGAAGAAGAACGGGCCTTAAACATGCTGAAAGCAGATGCGGGGGAAGATTTCCACAAAATGGGATTGCCACCAGGTGAGGATTCTGGAAATACTGTCTCTCCCCAGTACATGCTTATGGTACCTGGCGATCAATGCAACATTTGTCTGAATCGCTGGTAGGACTGGCACTAGACTCGGTGAGCTTTTAGTTTGGCTTTACATCAATAGAGCAACTTTGAAGGATTTTGTGCAGAGATTCAGGTAGAGTAACATCTGTTTAACACTGTAAGAAACTAAACGACCGGGTCATTTTCAAGGTATTAAATTTGCAATTAATGGCTTAGCACTGAACTTATTACAAGCATACACACCTTGATATATAGCGGCAACGAACAGAGATTAAATGTTTCTCGGATGGCTGCATAGCTGGGTTTGAACTGAATTTAGAATTGTGGAGATGTATGTCCAAGTCTTGGGATTAAAATAGCACACTGTTTCTCTATCCAAAAATATTACCTGACAGTGATGAGTTATAAAGACTACTTTACTTTGGATTGATCAAGATAGTATATCTTAAGGGGCTAAGCTTTTGCATTTTTTAAATTTGTTTGTTTGTTTGTTTTACTGTTGCAGTGGCATCCTCTTTTAGGTGGATTGTGGATAATGAACTTCTCAGAAAAAATCATTTAACCTGCCCTGATGATTACATCACTGATAAAGTACCTGTTACGAGAGCACCGAAAGGTAACGTTTAAAGCAGAGAATAATTTAGACTTTTTAGAACACTCTCTAAGAATTGAAGCATTGGAGGATGTTGCAGAGCTGAGTATATTTTTACAGTTTTCTGCCAAAGCAGAAGGGACTCTAGTATTAGAAGCATAAAATTCTACTAAAGGGACATTGTCAAAACGAAATTGATAAATTAAAAATTATTGAGTTTAAATGTGCTTAAATATGAAATTTAATGGTGGTCACACGTTTGTTTACCATTCTTTCCATCAGACACAGAATCTATATTAACTGTGACTGCTCTGCCTCTATTCAATTTCATTAGCACAAAGCTGCAAATACGTCTTGTATACAGAGAAGGGAAGTGGTTACATTAAAGTAAAAACTGTTTTCAGTGAAATAAAATTGTATTCTTTATTTTTGGGTTTAAAATTTTCCAGTTCTGGAAATGTATCAGTTTAACTTGCAAATGAAGATCAGTAAGAAAAATCTTTTGGGCAATGTCAAGACTTCTTCACTACTTTTACTCATGGATGAGCCAAGGTGAAAGGTTTTAGTATCATTAAAACGAAATTTTTCAGTCAAGTCAAAACAAACATTTCAGAGTAATCAATTTAATCACAAATTCCAAGATTTGGGGGTTTTTTTCCCCACTGTAATTCCAAACAAAGCCAAAAATCTAACACCTCGGAGTTTCCTCTGAGGTGGCAATTTTGTTGTCTAACTATGGGAACATGGGACTAGATGGTACATCCTGTTTATGTCAATTTTCTGACTGTCATAAGTCCATCATATAGATCTTTTTGTAAACTGAACAGGACATTCTAAGTCCCACTCGTAAGATTAACATAGCTTTCTGAGAGTAATACAACTTTCTTTGTATATAGTTTATTTAATTAGTATTTCTAAAAGCTTTGTTATTAAAGCACTATGCTTCATTTATGCAAAATAAACTATAAGTATAAATGAATTCTAGAGGATTTAAAGTGTATTTTTACCATCAACAAGACTAAAATAAATTAATATACCCATGCGTAGAATAAATGCTTATAATTCATGCTTTTCTCTTATAGAATTCTATTTTTCTTTGAATTGCAGGAAAATCGGAACCTGGCTACATGAGAGAGACATTTAGTTTTAAACAGCATGTTTCTTCAGGCTCGCAGGACCAGATGCCTGCAGGGATTGCACACCTACAGAAAATATCTGGTAGTCTGCCAAATGTGTCTTTATGCACATTAACTCTGCCTTCAACTCCAGACTCTAGCCACCAGACTAAAAAGACAAGTAAGGTACATTTTACAGATTTATTTCTTTGAGTCTGTCAGAACTGTAGGGCCTATTGCTGTTCCTATAACAAAGGGTAAATATAAACACGTTGTTGATTTGGCTCCAGTACTTATTTTATTTGATCTGTTAAGAAAAGAAAAATGCAATATTTCTACATGAATTTTCAATGCTGTATAGCTTTAATTAGACATGTACGGATACCTTTTTCATCACCCTCAAAATTGCTGTGCTTAATTTTGTACCATGGTCTCTTTGTTTTTCAAAGAAAACTAATGCCTCACAGAAGCTAGCCTGGAAAGATACTAAGTGCAAAGCAGAGGGAGAAGGTGAGCGTGCTTACCTTGCAAGACTTGAGAAAAGACAGAATTACTTGAAGAACCCCCGCTTTTTCCCACCAAATGCTCTTCATGGAGGCAAATCTCTTGTCATTTCTCAAGAAAAGGTGGAACAAAGCATAGCCAGAAGAAAAGCAGAAGATAATAAAGGGTATGCAGTATATAGTTTCTTGATTCTGAGCTGGAGCACACAGAGAGCTCCACTATAGAATTACTGTGGGTTTACACGTAGATATTTTGAGCCAGATGTCTGTATCGTCTCTAACAAACAAAGTATGTCTGTGTGACATTTTGGTTTTGCTAAGGGATACATTTTGCAATTTCTCATTTTATCAGTATTTAAAGAACTAGGCAGTAAGATAATGTCTCCTTTTATCTTTCAGTGATACCTCATTTGTTCCTGTGTTTCTTGCCAATCCACCTACTGTTTTGTTTTCCGATTATGAAGTTGGCCAGGTTTATGAGGTGGGAACAAACTTCTTTGTAGAGAGTTAATTCTACCACTGAGAAGCATTATGTCCTACCATGATCTACATATTTCACCCAATCTTTTGGCTTTCTGCAGTTTAACAAAAGTCTGAGTTTCTTTTTTGTATTGAATTAATGACCCTTTAGCTTCCTTCAGGATGCTTTTTCACACATGCCACTGACACACTAACCAGTGACAACTAAAAGGGACCCTTTTCAGTCTCTGCTTGGTTTTGGTAGTATCTGATTCAGCCTTTATTGAATAAACTGTGATTTTTAGGCCAGTTGTGATGATAAATTAGCTATTACTAGCAGAGTACTAGGGAATTGCAAACATTATAATGAGTGTTGATAAATACAATGGAGTATTTTATTTTCTTTTTAAATGAAGATGACTATAGAGCTGCAGAACATCACTTCAACATGTCATCGTGTAAGACTTATCCCCCCCTCTACTTCAGCATTTGCCATTGGGCCGGGTAAGGGTTATTTTTACTGCCTTTAAGATGTTACCACATGAGAGATCTAATTTGTCTGCTTGAACAAAGATTTTTCAGAGACATTATGTTTGGTTCTGCTATCCATAGTGCTCTGGGTAGGACAATAATCTGCTCAGTTCTTTAGATGCTGAGGGTTGTCTTATGTCTCTAGGACTGTTCACATGCAACGCATGAGCAGATTCAAATAGTCTAATGAGGAATTCAGGAAGACTAACTAACATTAAAATGTTTGAAGTTACTTTGAAATATATCCATGGAATGCCTAGATTGAGTCTTATCCGAAATTTATCTAGGAACAGACGTAGTGTCCATTGAAATCAGTAGGGGGAGAGGGCAAGAAATGGCATACTTCAATTGCCAAAAGGAAGAATAGGTTAGAGGAAAGGTAAGAAAAACATCTTTCTTACAGTAGGATAGCCAGGCGCTGGCGTAGATTGCCTAAGGAGATTGTGGTATCTCAGTCACAGTGTTGGAGGAATATTTAGAAGTTAGATCCCCCCATGTAAACCTTCTTGTCTTGTGACAGAGGAAAACTGGGTAACGTCTCTAGGTTTCTCCTCACTCTGTTTTCTGTAGGTCTGCGAAGCATATTTCAGATAAAAATTTATTCTTTGAGTTCAGTGGAAGATTGCACATACACAGATTACACTGGCAGGCCTTTTGTGGTCATTCGTTTTTATCAGCTTGATGTAGGCAATAAATGGGGAGAATTTACAGGCACCTTTCCAGAGGGAGATATGGTCATAAATACATATGCCAACTTTGGGAGGTTTTAATTTTTTTAATTCCCTGCATTTTTTTTTCCAAGGAAAATTTCCAGGAAAGGGAGGAATCATTGCTCCTGGGATGACATGCCAGTATACGGTCCAGTTTATTCCTGAATATGTAGGAGATTATGAGGATTGTATATTAGTGGAGACTCAAGTATCAGAACCTCTTCTGATCCCGATCCAGGCTAAAAGATCACCTCCAGTGCTAACATGTCAGTAATGCCCAATTCTTAAGTTTCTCTAAAGTTAAATGGATTTGTTGGGTTTTTATTTAATTTGACTGTCTCCAATTTTATGTCACCAAAAAAATGTGGAAAAACTTGGCAGTGCTTTTTCTGCATTGTGATAGCTATCTCATTTTCACTCATAATGGATTTATTAGTTATTAAAATGTAGCCCTGTCAAATTTTTCCGCAATTATTTTTGCTTGCTACATCAAACTCTTTTTTTTTCACTGTATTAGAGGAGTGAGCAGGACCCACCTTTCTAGGTTTGTGTCTTGTCGATACCTGAACTACTAACTGCAATTACCAATCCTAAATATTAAGAAATTATGGTTTAGTTATAAATATTTCATGCTATTAATTAATATTCATGGAATGTTACATTAATTATATATGGATATGACATATCTGCAGGATTCACCTCTCACATATCTAGACTCAACTGTAACAACCAGGATTAGTTTTGCAGAAACTTGCTTTGATTTTTTGTAAATTCACCTTTCCTGTTATACTGAACTTTTTAAAAAATCATCTTACTTTTTGTCATCATTCAATGGAACCTTTAAGTAGGAAGCACCATTAAAATGTAAGATGAATGTAGAAATATGCGCCTCACTGTTTAACTTTCAAACAGAAAGAATTTAAGGCTTGTTAGGATTGCAGCACCTAGCATATTCATATGCAGTAATGTTGTCTTTAACAAGTTATTTAAGAACTGGCTTAGCCAGCTGCTAGCCTTCACTGTCTGTGTATTCTGATTTTCTGTGTTACTCATTGCAGTGCCTCACATAATAGACTGTGGTTCCTGCCTTGTTGGAGGAATAAAAGTAACAATGGTTTTGTGCAGAAATGAGGGATTTAGGACTGGGAAGTTCTGTATAATACCGAAGAAAGCCTGGCCACCTCCTAATTTCAGGGTGAGTGCTTAGAAGGGAAATACTGGATATGGTATGCTATAGATAGCCTGACAAGAAGGCCTTTAATCTAGTCATGGTATATTAGCACAGAAGTCATAAGGCCTTGCTGGCAACCTCTGTATTGTTCCATTCCCTCAGGGATTCATATTTATCCTCCAGACCAATCTCCCTGGATGTCCGTACCTCCTGCTTGTGCTCTGGCTTGCCTCTGGAAGAAGTTGTCTTGCTCAGTGGTGAGGTAGACTCAGGCATAGATCAGGAAAAGGACAACTGGCTTGAATTTTAATCTTACCCTTAAAGCAAATAGAAATGCAATCGGTTCTAGCATTGTTCGAGATAATTTCCTCCCCCTGCCCACCAAAGATACCACTTACTGACCTTGCTGCACCTGTAGACCCTAGACCCTAGCGGTCCACACCAGTGCTGCTCTGTCTTTAGCTTTCCATCACAAAGCAGGGTCTAAGTGATACAGACAAAGAAGATAAGATCTGACTGGTAGATTGGCTTTTTATGTGCTGGAGAACAGGCTAAAGGGATAGCTGATGTGCCAGGTTGTCCCTCCCGGAAAGCTTTACAGTTCCAACTCAAAGTGAGTCATAAGCATGGAGAAACAGACAGATCTCCTATGCTCAGGCGTAGCTGTTCTTCTGTGAATGTGATTATTAGGGCTCCTGACGCTATCGTTTGCCTTTGGAGATAGCACCTTCCCTCCTGCTTTCACCATGGTAATTATAAAGTACGGAGCATTTCTTCTAATTAAGCCATATACATAAGCCACATACTTTTGGATGTATGAAAAAAAATTACAGTAAGAGGTACAACAGTGCTGTAGTAGTGTCCTGGTTTGGGCTGGGATAGAGTTAATTTTCTTCCC